ACCCCTTGCCATGGGGCACGAGGGCTGCAAGCAGCTGGGAGAAGGGAGAATCCACCACAGCCCTACATTTTCTTAGTTCTTTCCCCCTTCCAGCCTTACCTTTCCTTGGGCCACTAATTCTCGCTGGGCTGCTGAGGCTGCCTTCACCAGAGCGCTTGTGGCTGCAGCAATGGATTTGGCAGCTTCCAGGATCTGCTCCTCAAAGTTCAGGCTCTCATCTGCTTGCTGCGGGCAAAAGCAGGGTGTGAGTCCCAGCCAAGGGTGCTGGGAGCTGGGGCAGAGCAGAATGATGTCGGGGGGCTGAGGGAGGCTATGGGGCACAGGAGGGTATGGGCTGCCCAAGGAAGGTCCAGCCGGGGATGTGGGAGGCAGCAGGAGCATGGGAAGAGGGACTGGCTGTTGGATGGGTCTTGCTGTGTGTGACCCTTCACACCTGGCCGAAGTACAGACAGAAGAGCCCTATCCCACCCCATGCTGAGCAGAGGGGTCAGCCAGGGCTCAGCACCACTTACCTTGGGCTTGGCCCTCGGCTTCAGCTGCTCCAGCTTCTTGGCTGCAGCCTCAATGGCAGCTGCTGCCCCCAGCAGCTCATTCTCAGCGATGACGGTGGGGTCTTCTGGATCAACCCACTCCGTCCCTAAAAAAACCCGGAATCAAGGCAGGTTAAACCCACGTGCAGTCTCATTTCTGACTCGCCTCACCTCCTCCATCAGCTGCTGAGCCCTCCACCCTAATACCCAGCCCTTGGTCCTGCCCTTTTGAGCAGGACCTTTCCTTACCTTTCATGGCTTCGGCTGCCTGGATGAGCTCAGTGACAGAGCTGGCCACACGCTTGGAGTAGCCTGCCAGCTGCTGCTTCAGCTCGTGAGTTGGCTTCTGCAGGATCTGTGGGGAAGGAGCAGATGTAAACACCTGGAAAAAGGAGGGACCTCATAGGTCTGTTTGGGGTGCACTCCCCAGGGAAGGAGGGTGAGATCCCACAGCTCCCCCACACAATGTACACATCATGTGTACACGTTGTCTGTGATGTTTTCTCGAGTGATCCTGGCTGGTCTCCTCCTGCCCGAGGATGGGATGACCTTCCCCTTAGTCTTTCTGCATTCACAGCGTCTGGGACATCTTGCAGACACAAGACCCTTAGCAAAAACCTTCCTGCAACTCAGCAGCTACCTGCTCCAGGACTTCTTTCCCCCATTAAAGCATTTCAAGCTCCAGAAGCATTTCCCCCTCGCCGTCCCCATTTTGGAGATCTGTCTGCAAACACAAGCTGGGCAAAGGGGGGGGACCCTGGAGCTGCAGGGACAAAGCAGCAGGCAGAGCCATGAGGGTCCTTCACCAGGGTGGAGGGGACACATGCACACACCACAGCACACATGTGCAGACACACAGGGTCTCTACACACAAGCAGAGGTCGCCGCTGGCGCAGGCGGCAGCTGCCCATCAGCTAGAGCGGGTGTGAGTACACACGCACACACACGGACCCCGGGGTCCCTGTGGACACACACAAGTGCCACCCCAGCACTGGGCTGGGCACGCAGACACGCCGTGAGCAAGGCTCATGCTGAGGTTAGACACCAGCAGGCACCCCAATGTCGCCTTACTCACCGGCTGACAGGGAGGGAGGGAGAAGAGAGAGAAGAAAGCAGTGAACGTCCCGGCCGGGACACGCGGGCGCTGGGGACAGGGAGGGTGTGGGGAGGTGGGTGCTCTCCGGTGGAGGGTGAAGGGCAGCCAAGAGGAGAGGGGGGAATGAAGAATCAGAGGTCCCGCGTGGAGAGCTGTGCTGCCATCGTTAGCTCATACTTCAGCCTCTCAGTGCTTGATGATCCGGGGCGCCTGGATGCGGCTCCCAAGGCTGGAGGAGCCACCTACACCCGGAGCAGCCATGGAGCCGCTCTCCTCCTCACAACCCTTTACACCCAGGTCTCCCCACCCTGAACTGCTTCACTGCAGTTTTCAGCCACTGGATCTCTCTGCTTTTGGAGGGAGACACCTATCATTACCAAATAAAGTACTGGTGGAGGTTCAAATTCCTTCTCCTCCCCAGTGAAATATGCAGGCTTTTGCACTCCTCTGCTGGGAGCCACATTTTCCATCCCGAGTCAAATAACCCTCTTTCTCAAACCCCAACCACACTTGTTTGTGCTCCGTGCAAGGCACTGCCTCCCTTGGGGACCCAGCGTACAGCAGTGGACTCGCTGCTGCTGGGAGCAAGGCAGCATCTCATCCACCATCTCCCCTCCCATTCCCCTACATCCTTCCTGCTCACGGCTTCCCAGGAACCTGCTGCCCTCTGATAAATGGGACTCATGAGCTTCATTCTTGCCTCTGCAGACCAGAGCACAGTGGAGGATGGAGGAGTCAGGGCTTTATCCTGGACTATGCATTGATAAAGCATAAAGACTATGCTTTATCCATGACTACTGCCATCCCAGAAAGTCATCAGAGCTGCACGTGGCTCAGAATCCCTGAGCTGGTGGCACGCAGCGACGGCTGGTTCACCCTCATAAGCTCATCCAGATGAAATGCCACACTACTGAAGTTTGTTATCTGTTCTGAAAATGTGTTTAAAACTGCTCAGTGGTTTCTGTCTGGAGCTGAAGGCAGCCTGAAGGCTATGAGCTTACTAAGATGCACTTCCAGTCAGCATTTCACAGGCTGTACCAGGGTATGATATTCAGGAGATGCTGCAGAGCAGCTGGACGGTTAGAACCAAAATACAGCAGAATAGCGTGTTCCTGCGAGCGGGCTGACCTCGGTCACAGCCACACTAAGTCATTAGCCCAACAATCTGTTAACAACAGGTCAGCCAGAGAATTTCTCCTCAGCGCTCCAGCCTTGGCTGCCATGACTTATGTGTGGCTAAAGCATCTTCCAGACAGACATTTGATCTAGATGCAGAGGACGGAAAACTCACTGCTCCCCTTGGAACTGCACCCCAGTCACTACCTCCTTCGGATAAACCCACCCTTTGACTTCCCCTCTGCCCAGCTTCAATTTCTAGCCATCGACTCCTGCCTACCTCCTCTCTGTGTTGCCAGTGCTGCTTACCCTCTGCCTAAAGGGGCTTTCCCTGCAGGAAACCACAGTCTGAGCTCCACCACCTTGTATCTGGTGAACCTGAACGGCACACTCTCACCAGTGTAGTGAAACCACAGAGCTGACTTCCTCTCAGTCTTTGTCCTGACTCATGTTCCAGGGCTCTTGCAGCTCCATGGGCTGGGTCTGTCCATCCCTCCAGCGCCCTCAACTCCACCTCTGCAATCTTGCCAAGAATGCAAACTGCTGGAAGGACATCACTGGATCTTCTGTACTGCAATACGGTCTTAATTTGCTTCTTGTAAACTACACTCATCTCGTAGGACAGCTAATTAAAGCAGCCAGCTGAAGTCCTCAGGACTCAGAGGAAGAGTGGATCAAAAGGGTGCAGCTGGCACTTGCAGTTATCACCTCTGCTATTGGGGGCACCGCCTGTCTCCCACTCTGCTGTGAGCTTAACGAGGTCTGTTTTCACACTGCCTGAAGTCTCTTACTCCCACCACTTTCACTGGAAGCTGCTTCAGGATTTTGCTCCCGTGTTGTCTAATTTCCAGCCTCCCTCTATTTATGGCCAGTTAATCTCTATCTGTTGTTAGCCAAATACCTTTCTTCAGAGCCTGCTCATCTCTCTGACATCTGCTTCCACGGCAGGGGCTCAGCCACGTGCTGTGCCACCGAGGGCCGTGCAAAGACCTCAGTGGGAGGTGCAGAGCCCAGAGGACTCTGGGGATTTGAGGAGCAGCCTGGCATCCACAGGCAGCCTGTGGGATGGGGGAACTGGGGAGGGGACACTCACCACCAGCACGTGCTCCAGCAGCTCCAGGTAGCCATCAGCACACTCCTTGCCGAAGCGCAGCGCCCGCTGCCGCACGTCCCCGCTCACCTCTGGGTGGTAGGCGGCTTCCTGAAAGATGGAGACAGGGAAGCCCCAATTTACATCCAGCACCACCCCTGCTGGCATCCACAGCCCCCTGAAAAACTTTGCTAGACCCACATCCCCTGCCCGCCCCACCTTGCAGGCACGCAGCATGTCGGCGATGGCACGGCGGCTCAGGTTCGCCGTGGCGATCACGTCCTCCTGCCGACACGAGTTGCCAGCAGCCACCGCTTTGGCTGTGGCCATCGTGATGCCTTTTGTCATACGGATGAAGTCCTCTGGGGTGGAGACCTTGGCAGGAGGCACGGGAGAGGAGAATACCTGCAAGGCGAGAGGGAGGTGGTGGTGAGGTGTGGGGAAGGCGGTGGGAGGGACAGCAGCGGCAGCACCATGGCTGTACTCACTGCCAGCTCTTGGCGTATGTGCTCGATTGTGGCTTCCAGCGCTCGTGTCCCCTTTGTGGCCTCGTCCTCAACAGCCTTCACTGTCTTCAGCAAGGAAGTGACGTTTGTCACCATCACCTGTGGAAGGGAAGAGCCAGGTGAAGCCCCACACAAGCTCTGGGCTGCTGCCAGCAGCTGTCTCTCCCTTCTGTTCTGGTCCCAAATAGCCCTGTCCCCATACTCTCCTGACATCCCCTCATCTTGTTCTCCCACCAATGCCTCCTCTGCATGCTGTGCCCCAACTTTTATGTTCTCCTTCTTCCCTTCTTGTCCTGCCCCGAGACAGGCAGAGAAGCCTTCCTGCTCTTTCTCCAGCCCATCCTGCCCCATCCCCTCCTTCCCATTACGCCCAGCTCAGACCTTGGCAGAGTTCTTCAGCTGGTAGACAGCAGGGTCATCCCCAGCTTTACCAGCAGCTGCCTTGGTGGCACCAATCAGGTCTCCAAGTGCCTTGGCCACATCCTTCACAGCATTGATCAGGACCACCTGGAGAGAGCAAGACCAAAGTAATGGCTTAGCTATGGTCACACTCAGGCTGTAGGTGGTCTGGCCCAGCAGGGAGAAATCTGGGTACCCCGGGGCACACAGGAGCTCAGCCAGCACCAGCCAAAGCCCCACGAACCCTCTCCACAGCACGCAGGATCCAGACCAGAGCACCATAAAACACCTGCAACCCTCAACCCCTCCAAGCAAGCTACAAGCAGTCTATGTTCACCCTACACACCCCATCCCACCTGAGTCTCTGGGTCTTCAGATCCCAGGCTGGCAGCACCCAGCTTCACCACCTCTGCCAGGCGGGTGATGGTGGACACAGAGGACTGGGCAGCCTGGGCTAGCTTCTCCTGGCTGGCCGTGGCGTTCTGCACTAACACCTTGGTGTCCTCCACCAGCGCCTTGGCTGTCTTCAAGATGCCCTCCCTGGGGAGAAGAAGGGAGTCAGAGAGGACACAGCCCTCTGCATGCACAGATAGTCCTTGGGGTGCAGAGAGACTGTGGACCCTGCCTGCTGTACACACAAGCTGGAGGGGAAACAAGAGTCAGCATGAGCTGAACCTGCAGCTCTCCTTGGGGCTAGTCCACAGCTCAGAAAGACAGGAGACCAGGGGACAGAGCCTGACCCCCTGTCTCTGGCTGAGCAGAAGTTGGATGAGGTGCCTGGGTACCTATGGTCAGCAAAGGTCTCTGAGTTCTCCCGGTTGAGGGTTCCTGCCGTGGCAAACATGATGGTGGTGTCGAGGTCAGCAATGATGCCGGAGACAGCGCTGGCTGCTGTGATGCAGGCTTGTGTCCCACGGTTCCCAGCCTGAAGAGCTGCCAGCACGTGAGACACCTGTGGGGTACAAGAAGGGTGACTGGGAGAGCAGTGCAGGCTCAAGCAACCCTCACCTCCCGGGATGGAGCTGCTATATATCAAAGAGAGAACTCAGAATCGTGTGGTTTGGATAGGATAGCCCTTTGTAGTTCCAGTGATTTATTTTTAGCTTGTATCTATCATGTTAGGGGGTCCAGGAGATAACAGAGTCTGGTAATTTCTAAATGAATAAGGTTTGCATGATGGGCATCAGAACATCAAAATTTGTTCCTTCTTTAGCAGTTAAACACAATTTCTGTAGTTGGGCAAGCACTCATAGGAGGGTAAGTTTCCTGACAGAAAGCAGTCTTGGTAAGGAAGGTCCTGAGCATGCAGGTATGTGCCAGGCACGATGAACAAGTGTTTGTTTTGCTTTTGTGATTTTGTTTACAAGCACTGCTGCTCTATAACTAGATTGTTTTTAGCCATGTTTTAATCTGTTATTCAGAACTGTGATCTTCAGACCGACTAACGGACAGGACGCTTTCCACCATGCCATAAAAAGGTGAGGAGGAGATATTGATCACCCAGCACAAGCTACAAGCTTGGCTGGAGATGCAGCAAACACTATGCCCATCACTGCAAGAGCTGATTTGGAGAGCCCTGGTATGCTACCAATGTGTACATCAGCCTTCCCTGGCTGGCCATCATCGGCATGTTGGCAGGCAGCACCTGGACATCACGCTCATCCATCACAGCAGCAGCTGATGTTATGGTGCCTGAAGAGGGGAATCCATCCTCCACCCTGTCAGCTGGGCAGGGTGAGTGTGGCTGACAGAGCCAGCAGAGCCCAGCAGGAGCAGGGGGGAACCTAGTATGGTGGCTCCAAGGGCACACAGCTCAATCCTGCATCCCTCCCACCTGGCCACGCCATCACCCCTCCCTCTGGACCACTCACCTTCTCGGAAACTTTGCGTGCGCTCTCTATCAGCTCCTTCTTGGTGTAGGCATCGCTGGGGCTGCACTGCAGGGCTCCAGCCTTGGTGACCAGGGCGGCACAGCCATGACCCAGCTCCTGCGCCCGGCGCTTGATGTGGGAGCCAATCTAGAGGGGAACGTGGGTGTGAGAAAGCCAGCAGGGAACTAAGCCCTGCATCTGTGATACCCACTGGGAAACACCAGCCAACCCCACCCAGCTCCTCTCTCCCAATCCTCCCACTCAGGAGAGGGAAAAAGGAAACAGGGCTTTGCTCTGTGTTTCCACACCATGTTGCAAGGCAGGTGTGAATGCTGCCTGTCCCCACCTCTGACAGGAGTTCGAGTGCCCCCGTCCTCTGCACTCACACTCCAGCAGACCCTGCTCTGCCCCACAGTACACTCCAGCACTCCCCCCCACGCTCGCACCTCCTCGTTCTCGGCGGGGGGGCCTCTGCACTCACACTCCAGCAGACCCTGCTCTGCCCCACAGTACATTCCAGCACTCCCCCCCACGCTCGCACCTCCTCGTTCTCGGCGGTGAGTGCAGCCGGCTTGGCCTCTTGTGCCAGCTGTCCATAGTCATTGGTGAGCTGGTTGGCCAGTGTGCCCAGCTCATCTGGGTTGGTGGTGGATTTGGTGACCTGCCAAAGGAAGAAGAGCACAAGTTGGAGGGGCCCTGTGCCAAGATGGGCAAGCAAGGAGGGTGGTTGCCCTGCCTGGGTGGCAGGCAGCGCTTTCTGCAGTGACAGGCTTGCTTGCACCCACCATCTCCTGCACAGTCACTGCAATGGCCTTGGCTGTCTTCACCATCGTTGTCTGGTAGTCCACAAAGGTCCCCTCTGGCTCGCCCATTGGCCCCTCATCCAGCTGCAAGAGACCACCAGGAGACTTTGGCTCCAGCTCCAGCCCAAAGACCTTGTAGGGTCTGACTCTGACTCTTCCTCTCCCCCATCCCCAGCCCTGGTCAGGTCCACTCCATGCTCCCCTCACCTGGTTGATGGCCTGGGTGATGGAGTCCACCATGCCCCCCACAACACCTGCAGCGCTGGCTGCCTCATTCAGGGTGGTGGTCAGGTCCTCCACTGCTTCCTTCATCATCTGCACAGCCTCTTCCAGAGCCTCCTGGGTGTGGGCAGCTTGCTGCAAAGATGAGCCAGAGTAAGGGAAGGTGGGCAGTGGCTGCCCTCCCAACGGGGATGCTGCACACTTACTCCAGGTTTCCATGCATGTGCACCATGCAGCACCCACACCCAAAGGGGAGAATGTCACTGACATGTGCCCCTCCTGCTCACCTTGGGGTTCCCACCAGCCTCCTTGGCCGTGTACAACATCTGCAAGGCAGACTCAGCCAGCGTTTTGGTCTGGTCCAGGAGGTTCATCTGCTGCTGGTGGTTGGGTGTTTTGGAGGCAGCGCCGACAGCCGCCATAATAAGCGGCTCAAAGTACTGAGCCATCTGGGACACCTAGGGAAGAGCAGCATCAGCACCAGCAGCTTCCAGACTGCCTTGAGCCTCTCGAGCTCCTCCAGGCACACTGAGCACCTGGTCAGCAGCTCCCCATCCCCATGTTACCTTGTGCCCTAGCTGTGAGGCCTCAGCCCGTGCTGCGCTGGCCACGGGCTCAATCAGGTTGCTGATCTCCTGGACAGCCGTGATCATCTGGTTGTGCAAAGCCTGGTGCAAAGAGAGGGCATTGCATGAGGCTGCAGCAGGGCTGGGGTCACTGCACGCTGCTGGGAGCCAGGCAGAAGGACACCTGCCCCTGTTAAGCTTGCAGCAGCCCTTCCTCAACCCACCTCCTGGGAGATATCTTCTCGGGGGGCCAGCTGCTGGCTGATGGCAGCAAGGGAAGCCTGGTCCACCTCCCGCATGCATCTGTTCAGCACCTCGATGGCCTCATCACACTCCCGCTGCCCTGGAGCTTTGTCCCTGCATGACAGATGGATCACTGCAGCGCTGGTAGGTGCTAGGCCACCCCTTTGGCCCCAGCCTCTGCTGGTGCTGGTGAGGGGTAGGACCCCTCTCCCAAGCTTTGGGGCAACCCAGCATCATAGAGCACAGGCACGGTGGCATGTGTGTTCCCATCAACCCATGCCAGGGCTGGAGAAGCAGCTCCCATGCAAGACAAGAGGGTTAGCATCTATGAGGACAGGCTGAGAGAACTGGGGCTGTTCAGCCTGGAGAAGAGAAGGCTCTGGGGAGATCTTACAGTGGCCTCCCAGTACCTGAAGAGGCTCCAGGAAGGCTGGGGAGGGACTTTTGACATGGCAGTGAGTGACAGAACAAGGGGAAATGGGTTTAAACTGGAAGAGGGGAGGTTTAGATTAGATATTAGGAAGAAGTTTTTCACTGTGAGGGTGGTCAGACACTGGAACAGGTTGCCCAAGGAAGTTGTGGCTGCTCCTCCCTGGAAGTGTTGAAGGCCAGGTTGGATGAGGCTTTGAGCAACCTGGTCTAGTGGAAGGTGTCCCTGCTGATGGCAGGGGGGTTGGAACTGGCTGATCTTTAAGGTCCCTTCCAACCTAAACCATTCTGTGATTCTATGATCTTCTGTCCTATCCCTGTGCCAGTACCAGCCAAGGAGAAAATGAGCCAAAACATCCTCAGGGATGCTCACTCAGAGCAGGGATACCTGCCAGCAGGGACAGGGCCACAGCCAAGAGGGCAGGACTTGCCTCACCTCATGTTGGTGATCAGCTTCTTGATGGAGTCCGAGACGGTGCGAGAGTGGCCAGCCAGCACTGACCACTGCGGCGGGTCCTTGGGGTTGACAGCCAGAGAGCGAGCGGTCTGGATGAGGCCAGCAGAGCTCTCCAGCATGGTCTTGGCTGAAGAGACGATGGGCTCCATGGCTCTGCGCCCCTATATGAGGAGATGATCAATCAGTGATACATGTGAGGGACTGTGCCTGGGAAGTTATCCTCCCCCTCCCATGACCCTCACCTCAGAGCAGCCCCTCAAAGCCCAGGGTTTGCTGTCTCCTCCTAATCACACCCTCCCAAGGCAACAGCCCTGCACTGGGGCTCCCTCCCAAGCTCAGGAGGAGGCATGGCTCCTCCCCACCCTTCAGCAGCTCCCATCAGAACCAGCCCACATCCTCCCTGCCCCTGCAGCATCCCACCTCTGGGCTAATCTGGGCAGGAACGGTGGCAAACTCCGGGTTGGAGGCGAAGGCTGTCAGGTTATCCACGGCCTCTATGAGAGGGGCAGTGGCAGCACGGCACCGCTCCCGGTTCTCCTCATTGAACTCGCCATCCAGGGCCTGGTGTGGAGAGACCAGAGCAGTTACCCAACCCTCACCATGCCCCAAATCCCATCCCCACCACGGTGCCCCAGCAGAGAGACTGCACCTTGATGGTCTTCACCAGGTTGGCCGTGCTGTTGGCCACCTCCTTGGCCGACTGGACAAACTGGCGCTTGGCCACAGGGTTGGCAGTGCGGGAGGAGGCCAGGCGGCACGTGTTGCACAGGGCTGAAGTGTGCTTCGCTACGATGGTGGCTGCTGACAGCACCTGTGGGGAAGAGCAGCGTGAGGCAGGGTCCACCATGACTCCCCATCCCCACAGAGCTCCGTTCCCGTCAGCGCCGGTGGGCACAGAGGTCTTCCTTGGGCCCCAAAAGGGGCCGTCAAGGTCCTGCACACCCATACAGCCCCCACCTTGACTGTCACCATTGCACCAAAGCTGCCAGTTGGTTCCCAGCACAGCTGATGGGGCTTGATGACACAGAAGCCATAATCTTGGCCAACTCTTGGGATGCAGCTCTAACAACTAGCTTCATACTTCCTTTTGTGCAAGAAAATACCTGTAATGGTGTCCCAGCTCATACTCACCTGGGACTGGGTGCAGGCAGGGTCCACCAGGTTCTGGCAGGCCATTTGGATGGCTTGGGATGCAGCTCTAACAACTAGCTTCATACTTCCTTTTGTGCAAGAAAATACCTGTAATGGTGTCCCAGCTCATACTCACCTGGGACTGGGTGCAGGCAGGGTCCACCAGGTTCTGGCAGGCCATTTGGATGGCTTGGTTAGCTCTGGCAAACTGAGTGGGGTCTACCAAGCCTTGCTGTCCAGCCTGGCTGTTGGGGGCTGAGACCCCCACGAGGGAGGGAGCCTCGGGACATCCACGAGGTAGGCAGCCTAGGAACATGAGAGAGGCAGTGAGAACGCAGGCACAGGGGACAGGCTCGGAGCAGGCGTGGGCTGGGGAGGACCTGGCAGCATCACACCACAGCACCAGCCTTTGAGGGGCAGGGGAGAGGTGCAGACAGCAACTGCACACCGGGGGTGATGCTCAGGGCTGGGACCGAGCATGTCTCACCTGGGCAGCTGCCTCTGTCAGCCCGCAGAGAGCTTTGGAGGCGGCACTGATGGAGTCACCGAACTCGGGCAGTTTGCTGTTCTTGGCATTCTGGGAGATGCCAGCCATGGACTCACCCAGCACCTGCAGGACACACCACTCACTGGTGAGAGACCACCTCCCACTCCTGCACCATGCTCCCAGGCTCAGAGCTCACTGTGCTTCATCAACAGGGAAGGAACCACCTTTCCCTTTGTCCCCACATCCTCTCCAAACCTCCCCATCCTTCCCCACACCTCCACTTCCAGCTCAGGACTCACCTTGGAGTTCTCCATGACACTATCAAGGCAGTTGAAGTAGGACATATCGTTGACAGTCTGGGTGGGGTTCTCCAACAGCTCCTTCACCGTCTGTAGGGACACGGGTGTCACATCGAAGGGAAGGGTCTGCACCCTCCACTCGCACCTCCTCTTTGCTCCCTCCCACCCTTCACAGCAGGGTGCAGCTCCCCACCATCTCAGCACCCAGATATCTCAGCCCCTCCACTGCCTCATCAAGATGTGGCTTCTCACCTCCAGCTCCCGCAGGGCATTGTCACACTCCTTCTGGCCCGGGGCCTGCTGGGTGCACATGGTGATCAGCTGGTTAATGCTGTCAGTCACAGCCCTACCAGAGACAGGGGAGAAAGACCCATGGATCAGCACCACCAGCTCCACCACCCCGACACACTGCTACAGCAAACAGCTCATGGAGAGCAGTTCCTCCTACCGTGCCGCTGCTGCCAGCTGATTCTTGAGGTTGGGGGCTGTGGGGTCAGCAGAGAGTGCCTTTGCAGCCAGCAGCAGTTTGCTGGAGGACATGGAGATGCTCTTCAAGTTCGACACCACCTGCGCCTGGTCTTCCTTATTCTGCAAGAAGCCAAGGAGTGTTAGCTGCAGCCAGGTTTCCAAGTCCACGCCCACTCTGAGCCTTCTCTGGTGGTTTTCAAGCTGAGCCAGTTCCCTTCATCTAACTCATCCGCCAACAGCAAGGATACATGAGCAACACTTGATGAACAAACCCCAAGCTACTCTCTCCCCGCTGCTGTAGTTTTGCATAGTCCCCAACCCCATCTCACCAGCTGCACAGGCCACAGCCACCATAACCACCAATGCCTGGCCACCCTACCTGCAGTCAGC